AGGAGGAGGAGCTGGAGGCAGGCTGGCTGGTCCTGGGCTCCCCGCGCGGCCCCACAGTGAGCAGGGGGGTTGCAGAGCTGCTCCTCACCCCTTCCCAGCTCAAATCCCCAGCACACGCCTGGCAGACAGCTCCCAGAGCAGGGAGTGACCCACGGAGGGCTCTGCCCCACAGGGAGCGACCCACGGAGGGCTCTGCCCCACATGAAGAGACCCATGGAGGCCTCTGCCCCACAAGGAGCGACCCACAGAGGGCTCTGCCCTGCAGGGAGCGACCCACGGCGGTCTCTTTGCCCCACCGGCACACACTATTTACTGAAGTTTCCCCGAGAAGCAGAAACTTCGGGATATTTTCTCCTCGTTGCCTCTCTCTGTCAGCGCAGTGGAGCAGCAGCCGAGGGCTCACGGAGCTCCCCGAGCTCTTCGTTAGCAGCTCCGGTGCCTGAACTGCAGCGATTTTACACACAGAATTTCACAGAAGCAAGTCAAACACCAGAGGAAATGTTAAACAGCAATTTCCAAACCCAGCTGCAACCTCCTTCCCCAGCCCGGCTTGATTGCACGGAGCCCTGCAGCGGGTCGGGATGGAGAGCAGCAGCACGGCAGTGTGCGAGGGGACAGATCCTGCTCCAGGAAATGGGGCTGGAGCTCTGCCGATCCCCGTTCCAGTGGCACGGAGACACCCACGCGCCCAGCTCAGCCCCGGGGGGCTGCCAGGAGAGAAATAACGACACGCCGGCTGCAACAGGGGGGCTTTTATTGACATAAAAGTGGATATAAATAATTCTGACCTTTTTTCAGAGCAGGCAAGGAAGATGTCCATCTCCAGCAGAAGCTCTCTGGGGGTCCCTCAGCCCCACTGCAGGCCGGGGGGCACCGGCCAGCCTCCAGGCGGGGGGGCCTGCAGGGAGGGGGGCAGATCCTGCACTGGGGGCCACCCTGGCGGGTACTGGAATGTTCTCTGGCAGGGCGCTGGGGAGAGAAGGGGCAGAGGGGTATCAGTGCGACAGCATGGCCCTGCTGGGGGGCTGAGGCTCCCTGTGCCCCCCTGGAGACCCCCAAAATGAGGAGGGGGCCTGCAGAGGGGGGGCGTTTGGTCTATTCATAGCTCCCTCTCCGATCCACCCGCAGAATTTCTGCGTGACCACCCCCCAGCCCATGAAAAATACGGGGGAGCAGTATGATGAGGGGGCTGCAGCCCCCCGAGACCTCCAGCATGGCTGGCCCTGGCCCCCCCAGCCCCAGCTGCTCCGGGCACAGCTGGATTTTGGGAAGGACAAACCCAAGGAGCAGACGTTCTTCTCCCTGGCCAGCTGTGCACTTCCCCAAGGATGAGGACCCCTCGGAAATGGAGAAAGTGCCAAAGCGCCAGGGGTTTGTGCAGAAGCACCCTTCAGAAGAGCGAGCAGCCTTCCTCCTCCGGCTCGCAGCATCAAAAACATTTTTTTTCTCTCGTTTCTCTCCCTCAAATTTACTAGTTGAGGCCCCTGCACACCCCACACCTGACCCAAGAAGGGCAGAATCATGAAGCATCGCTGCCCCGACTCCAGCTGGAGAAAGTTCTTGGCCAGGGCAGGTTGGAATTAACGGGAAATGTACCTTTTGCATTAATTCCTGAGCGCAGGAAGCTCATTTATTCTTTAGCACAAGCCCTGCCAGCAGCCTTCCAGCTTCTCAGGCCTCTCCCTCCAACGCTGATGAATCTTTTTAATTGTTACACCAGCAGAAATCTAATCAAACTCCTTTACATAACGCTCCGGAGGAGCAGCACCCTCCTCTCCCTGCAGGGTGGCCAAACGCCAGCTCCCGGAGCCGACCGCGGCATTTTCCAGGCACCAGCACAGAGTAAAGTCATCTGGGCTAACGCTCATCCCCCGGACAGGAAAGTTTCAGGGCTGAGGATGAGACCAGACCACTTGGACGCCCACCAGGCCCCTCTTGGGCAGGAATATTTTTTTTGTTCCGCCCAGGCGCAGGCAGGGAGGTGGGGTGGGCAGCGGGACGAGGTGTGGACCCGCACAGCCATCAGCCAACGAGCTGCTCCACCAGCAGCAGGACGGATTGATCGCGGGGATGTGGCTGAGGATTCTCCGGCTCTCGTAAGACATGAGCACTGTCAAAGGTTTCCCTAACGCTGGAGCACTCCTGTGTGGCTTCCCTGGTGTGGAGGGTCAAGAATATTTCCCCTCTGAGGGTGTTAATGGGATCCCTCTCCTCTAGACACCTCCACGACCATGGAACCTCTGGTATCTCACTGCCTTTGAGGCCCTGGACCCTTTTCCGATGGGAATCAGTGCTGGGCTCCACGGTAGTGATGGCAGGAGCACTGACACGCTGCGTTTCCTTTGGAAATCTGGTGAAAAATCAACCACAACCTGGCAGAGCTCCACCGCCAAGAGAGCCACACCAACTCCATCCAGCTGCACCCCAGCTCTCCAGAAAGTGACAGCACAGCGGGACTTTGGAAATACGCAGCAGGGACAGGCTTCCAAATTGTCCCCTCGAGCCCGGCCGGGCTGCAGAGACGATGGGTGGAAGGCAGCGTGGTGGCTCTCCACCCATGGGGATAATTTTGGTGACAGTCAGAAATGGGGCTCAAGTTGCTGCCTTTAAGGAAGCACTGCCCTTCAGTCACGGCAGCACCTGGCCACACGGCCACGTCATGTTTTCTGTGTGCTGTGGGGGACTCAGAGACTGCACAGGGCAGCAGCTTCACCTGCTGAAAGCCCCCGGTGAGGTAAAAAAATCAGCTGCACTCGCAGGGTGAGGGTTAACACAGCAATCGCTCCCCATCACACTCAGGGAGGACTGTGCTTCCGAGGCGTCTTCCATCCCAGCTTGGATCCTTCCCCCTCGGCGCTGCCAGAGAGGATGGAGGTGCAGCTGGGTCTCCAGCATCTCTTTTTTGGACCTGGCTGCCCTCAAGAGCACGTTCTCTGCTGTTCTGTGCAGCTGAACGGTCCTTCCTGCCAGCACCAGCCCCTGGGCAGGGTATCACCCAAAGCCCCAAATTCCCCCAAGCGCCGCTGGACCCTGCCAGAGGTTCTGCCCCGTTTCAGGGACCTCCAGGACTGCAGGAGGGAGAGGGAGCTCCTCATTCTTCAAAGCATTTTCAGGAGGAACACAGAGTCCCCAGGAGCACAAGGACCTGCCTACACCAGCCCCTCTGCCCTGGAGATGTGAAATAACTCCTCTGGCAGACAGAGAAAACGCACAGAGTTAATCAGAAGTGCAATGCTGGGGCTGGAGAGCACGAGGGGAGAAGAGGAACGATGGGGACAGGCACCAGCAAGGCCAGACAGAGGAAGAGAAGCTTCAATAGTCGGTGTTTAGCTCCTGCGGCAGATGGCTCTGGGCTGGCAGAGGCAGAGAGGCTGGGGAGGAAGCAGCAGCCCTCCAAATCCCAGGTCTCAGGTGTGTTTGGAGGCAGCAGGAGCCAAGAGAAGCTGCCCAGAGAAGCTGTGGATGCCCCATCCCCAGAGGGGTTCAAGGCCAGGCTGGATGAGGCTTTGGGCAACCTGGGCTAGTGGGAGGTGTCCCTGCCCATGGCAGGGGGTGGCACTGGATGGGCTTTAAGGTCCCTTCCCACCCAAACCCTTCTGGGATTCCAAGTTGTGATGAAGGTCGGGAAACTCCTCTGGGTGCAGCGATGGCTGTCTGCTCTAAGAGATGATCTGCTCCAAGATGAAGAGATTCATGGGCAGGACAAGAAAACAGGGCACGTGTATGAGGGGAGGAAGGTTCCGGCTGCGAGCCAGCTCCACTGCGAGGCCAAGAGCAGCCAGGCTGATGGACGGAGCAACCAGAAAAAGCAACAAGCCCAGACAGGCAGCAGAAGGAAGGTCCTGCCCAGACTGAACACAAGAGAGGACAGGAGCAACCAGAGAAAAGAACAAAAGAGAGATTTGGCACCTGCCCAAACGTCATCCAATTAAGCCTGCGGCACAGTCAGGTGAGCAAGGAAACAGCAGACACCCGCACGCGTCCAAATCGGAATGAACACGGTGAGGAGGAGCTCGTTCCGCCCCCTCGCTGGCAGGGACCGGCAGGATGCGCAGACAGGGCTGGCAGAGGATGGGGAAGCTGTCAA